ATAACACTCTCAAGATGTAGTGTTTCTATTCAAGTCAGCAGCAGCACATATAGCCCACACAGGTTTCCATATTCCACTTCCAATTTGTAATCTATTTACTTAAACAAGGGTGCCCCCTCAGTTCTGGTTAAGAAGGAACACAAACAAGTTGAAAGAAAGTCAAGACAGGTTGGCAAAAAATGTGAACTAATGGTTATGTCTCTTACCCTCCATTCCCCTTAAGACCTCACTTCTTCCATTTTTCAGGCTGCCCTTTTCTATGTTTTCTCCATGAGTATTGGAGAACTCAATACTGAGCATGCACATTTACTAAGATAGGTTTTTGTTGAAAGTGGAAAACTCCAGTGGAGTTCAGAGTTAGCCTTCCCTAAACTTAACCCTATCCATTAATGGTGTGAAGGAGACTAGACTCTGAGTAAAAAGTTGTAAGTTTTCTCCTCCTGTGTTTTTCTACCTAACACCACATCTCCCTGGAACAAGAAGACCCCTGCTCATTGTTTTTTCACTTTCTCTCATTACTGCTGCCTTTTTTTTCCCCTCCATACCCACCCTGCCTCAGCAGTGATAGAATAATTTTGGCTGTACAACAAGAACATCTTTGCAAACCCCAATGAAAGCATGATGCTTGCACACATGGGGACTCTTTCCTTACCCCTCCCCAGCTGCCACAGTCTACATTTCCGTCTCTTCCGGGTTGCTAATTGGGGTCTCTCGTATTGAGAGCCTTATGGATACATTTCAGGCCACAATATTGTAATTGCTTGGAGGGAGAAAATGGAGAAAGAAAGGCTGGAGTTACAAGACTTTTACTCCTACTTTCTTTCTCCTCACACAACGGAAGTGGATATTATGGATGTTTGAAAGATTAGCATCTGGCTCCCTATTAAGACGAGAAGTCCAAAGTCAATTCCCTTTGTAAATCAATTCAAGCCATGAATTGCAGGATTCATAAGAAAAATGGAGTCTCATGGAATCCCAGTTTAATTTCTTGCCTACATGTACAGAGTAAGTGCAGAACTAGATCTAGAGCCCTAAAATGCTTGGATCCAAGGTTAATGGCCTTTCCCCATAACATGATGCTTTTTAGTCTTTGAACTGGAGACAATTCCTCTGTCCTCAATCCACAGGAAAACTCTATTAAACAGAGTGTGTGTGAAGCTGCAGCCCTCCTAGAAGCAGCAGTTGAACTTCTAATCAACCGAACTTTTTGCCAAACCACTTTCTGATGCCAAGGAAAGAGGAAATTAATTTAAGAAAAAGGTAAATGAACTACAAGCTTCTTCTTGGTAGGAGAGTGTAATGTGTGGGAAAATATTTGGACTTAGAATAAAAGGTCTGCATTATACTCAACTATAACTGAAACATTTTTTTAAAAAAGAACAAAAGCTCTAGGTATGAATGCTGATTGCGCCATGTTATGTGAGTCAGCTGAGGGTATTACTGGAACTCTCTGAGTATAAGATGAGGATTTGAGGATCGTATGACCTAACTTACCTTCTGTGCAGGCTGTTGTGAAAATTCAAATATACATATATTGAACTTGAGCATAGTTCAACTATTTGGCATGTGAGTCAATAACCACTTAGAATAATGGCCGGCATGAGGTAAATGCTCAATAAATGTTAGTAGTTTTATTAAATATTCCAGTATGGCTCTCAATCGCCATTCTCAAGCCATCCCTTTAACTCTATTTCTATTTTTTTTCTCTTCTCTACTGTTCTATTTTATAGCTCCTTTCTCTATGAAGCTTTTATAAAAAAGGAATAAGATTTCAGATCTAATGAGATCTTATCTGATTCAGGTCCCAGGTAATGCAGTGTCCAACACAGGTAATATATTGGCTTATGGTGTCTGGTGAGAGTTACTTAAAGGAGTATTCATTGAGGAAGTTAAGTTTCAAAAAGTCTTTAGAACACACACACACCGCAAAACTCTACTAAAATTAAGAAAAGACCTCTTCTTTTCAAATAATTAAATCAATCATTAAAAATTATTTCCAGGGATCAACTATTTCTTGTAATATACCAATGGTATTTAAAATCAGTGTACTTTGCCAACAAAGTACTTATAATTTCAAATAAAATTTTTCCAAAAACTTGAGGTGAAAGTACCTTAATTATTCTCTTCCACTTATACACATGTAAAGATATTATCAAGACCAAATTCAAGTAGTAATTTACAATCAAGGCTGATGAAACGGTATCACTATATTTTAATTGATATTTTGTAATGTTTCCTTGGCATATTTACCCATCACTGTTCTATCTATCTATCTTCTCTGTATTAATGCCTATCTTTATGCGTTGTGAAAAGAAAGAGCATGCACAGTAGGTAGTGCAAGGTGATGGTTCTGCAGTAATGACAAAAGTGAATTTTAAGTCTAATTGCCCTGTTACCAGAACTTTAACTTTGTATGATGTATTGAGAATTTCTCAGATATGCGATATGAGAGACTAAGCATTACCACAAAAACGTATCTCTGATTTAACAAACATTTAAGACCCTGTGGAAAGCATCCTGTTTTCCGATCTATTTTTATGCAAAGTTTTTCTAAAGGCCAACACCTTTGACTATGTTCATTAAGTTTCCGTATATAGGTATGTGCCATCCGAATAGCCCCTATGATCCCCGTTTTTTAAGGTATAAAGTGCACTCTAGAAAAACACACAGCGCTGTTCCACTAATTGCAGCCAGTCTGACATGCTTACATGGCAGCAAACTGGTACTCCAAAACACTCACCAGTGTGCCACTGCACAAAAGGCCAAGACATTAGCAGTGGAGGCTGATTGGTAAAGTTAATGTAGAGGTTCCGGATTATAGAACGCTGTTGTATAACAGCATCACATACTGTAGTATTTTGTGAATCCCTGCTATAAAGGAACAACATTCGCAAGCCAGGGGACAGCAGTCACAGGAACAGCAGCGGGAAAGATGAGAGCAATTGGACCATGCTCCTGATTTTTATTCGTCTATAAATGCCCATACAATCTTATCATTGCTGCCCTTAGGCAGTTAGCAGGTTTGAGATTCTGTCCTAAAACTCACCTCCCACTTAAAATCTCTCACTCTCGGCCATCCCTGAAACAGCCAATAACGGAGCGTGATGGCCACTACTTGCACTGTGCCTTCCCCTTCCTATTCGGACCCTGTCAAGCAGCAGCCTGTGCTGTTCACTGGCTGCTGGAGGCCTCCATCCACCTGCTGTGTGCAGCGAACACCGAAAGGAACAGCAGCAAACCTGTAAACCCTGACCAGCAGAAAAGGTGCCCAGGACAAGTGGCCAGGGCTGCAACCCCTGAGGACAGACGGACTGACAACCAGACAGACAGACAGCAGCGCCATCAGACACAATCCATTACTTCCAATCTCAGAAGAGGGGAAGCCTGCAGCACCAGGGACGTCATTGTTCCACTAGGGACAGACAGCAGATTAACGAGGGTTCTGCCTCCCGCAAGCCGGCAGGCTTAAAGTATTTGTTTTTTTGGATGAGAAGGAGCAGGGAATTCAGAAACCTGCTGCTCTTTATAGAACAAGGCCAGCTCTGGCCTTCCAAGTTAACGGTCCTTTTCTGAGTCTATAAGGAGAGGGCAGTGATGACTGACTTTGTGCTCTTTTGCTGTGACCCAACACCCACAGCTCTACCTCAATATTCCCCTCTCCCATCTGGGAAGCAGTTACACTGGTGGGAACCCATCAGTCTGTGAATATAGCCTCCCTCCCTTCTGTCCTGGGAGGCACTGCTGCACTGAGGGGAAGTGGAAGAAACCTCCGGGGGCAGCATCTTCTCTTCAGGAGGCAACCCTAGGGGGTGGGGGAGAGGCCGTGCTGGGTGTGCTCTGTGCCTGGCTGTCGCCTGTGTTCGCTCCCTGCCTCTTCTTTACTGTCAGCTAATGCAAGATGCAACAGGTTCCCTTTGGTTCCTCAGGGTCTCTAAATTCCCTCACCCCTAAGCTGAAAACTTTCCTGAATACAGGAAGACCTCCCAAGGGAAGGCAATGTTGAAGTCCCCTTCGGTGCCCCTCCAGGTGCGATGCTGAGGAGCAAGGAGAACCAACTCTGGATGCCAGCACCTTGTAGCAGCGCACTCCTGCCCCACCGGCTGTGGGCCCCATCCCCTCCCCAGACACAGGAAATGGGACACTGGACAGGAATCCCTTAAAAGGGGAGATGTGTGCAAACATCCCGTCCCCTACTGTACCGCTTGCACCAGGAAGTGAGCAGGCCCCAGAAGTCTCTTGGAACCCAAGAAAGAGGAACGGAACCTCTATTTTACTCTGACCGGAGTTCCCATCAGCTTCTTCCATTATTAAAAACTTTGCATTGCCAATGGCATTATAGAGGGGTGAGAAAAATGTGTCTTCACGGAGGCATTTTGCGTAAAAGACTGGGAATAAAAGGTTAAAGAGAAGCTGGGAGGCAGGGTACCCAAAATGGCAACTGCCCCCCCAAAAAGACCCAACCTTGATCTGTGAGATGAATGAGTACCAAAATGAACACTAAAAATAAGCATTTTTTCTTATGAAAATACTGACACCCTTCACTGGGGTAACCCTGCTAAACAACTCCAAGAAGAGAAGAGGAGCTATTCTCAGCACCTCTTCTTCCCACCTCCCCTTTCTTCCACTGGTCTCCCAGCCCCTAACCTACTCTCAGCCCAGGGCTCTTCCTTCCACATGGGTGGGATCCGCTCTTCTCAGCCTCGGCATATCCCAGCCCCAGGGTGGTCTCTGTGCACCTAACCCTTCTCTGCACCCCAGTCTCAAGCCATCCTCTCCAGGCTCCTGCGCTCTCCACTCAGTGGCAGCCTCTCGTTCCTGCCATCCCCCTAGCCTCTTCCCTGCTCAAGCCCAGCGCCCCCGGCCCGAAGGCGGGCGCCTCCGCCCGCACCCAGCACCCTCGCCCGCCCCTCCCCCACACAGCAGAGAGGATTGGGTGAGTGAGTGGTGAATGGACCGCTGGAGGCACGGAGGCTCGGATGGCGCGGCGGGGGGTGGCTTACTTGAGCATGGCTTCTTCTTTTTCCTCCTCTTCCTTCTGCCGGTCCATCACTGCCATGATAATGTTCCTCTCCTCCTCGGTCAGGTGGCTCAGGTCGGGCAGCTCTTGCATGGGGGGAGGCACCGTGGGTGGGCGAGGACCGCGGGGCCCCACGGCCGAGGACATTTTCGTGGCCTGCCAGCCCCCTCCTCTGGCTCTTGGGCTCTCACCTTTCGGATTCACGCCCAGCAGCAGCTGCGCCCCTGCTTCCTTTCACAGCGGAGCCCTCCCGGCCGCGGCGACAGCAGCAGAGCCGGGGAAAGAGCGAACCCAGTCTTTCATGGTTGTTTGCATCCACCCAGCCCCGGATGCTGCCTTTGTTTTGGTCGCCCTAGCGAGGCTCGGGGCTGCCCGGCCGCCTCCCGCAGCCCAGCCTCGGCCGGCGGGGGCGGGCAGGCAGAGGCGCGGCGGGCGCGGCAAGCGCGGCGGGCGCGGCGAGGGGGCGAGGGCTCGCGCCAGGCTCTGCCGATCCGGGCGTCGCGGGCTGGGCGCGCGGGGCGGGGGCGGGGCCGGGGCTGGGGCCGCGGCAGCCGCCGAGGCTGCTCCCAGGCAGGGCTGCCCCCAGTTTGGGGCTGCGGGAGGGAGAGGGAGAGTTTGGGTGTCAGTTAGGCGGAGTCTCGGAGGCTTCGCTCCCGGGTGATGCTGCTGCTCTCGCAGACACAGCTGCCAGCCGCTCAGTCCCGGAGCCGCTCCGCCCACGGGCACCCACCCGCCCACTCCCCTGGCCCGAGCCACGCGTGCCCCAGCCGCTCCCCTCGCGCTCGCCAACGTGCACCCCACATCGCTCTATCCCCAGGTACCCCTCGCCCGTGAGTCATCCTCCTTTCCTGGATCCTGGTCTATATCATCCTCCCCATCCCTGCTTTTCCATGGGTTGCGTTAATCATCATCATCCTCGATACCATCTTCATTACGGAACGTTCGCATTATTTGAGTGCCCACGGTGTTCTCAACAGCAGCCTGGAACACCTTTAGATGCATTTTTTCCCCCCTGAGACCTTATCTTTCTCATTACTAGTCAAGAATCTATAGCCACAACAAGGAAAATTTAAAAATAATGTTGATACACACGCACACACCTCCAACAGCCTAGGTTTTCTGGGTGCATTGTATGCAGTGTCTTTTTTGACCCACCCTCGTTAGGACTGGTCTGCAATTTATCCCAATTTCTCCTCGAGATACCCCACAACACGGCAACTCTTTAATTTGTCGTTTTGGGCTGCGGGTAGCCCTATCATCTCACATAGCCACACTTCTCCCGTGCTTGGAAATGAATTATCTACTCTTAATTTTTCTAATGATGCTCGCTATCATCATGCACTCACTTCTTAGCCTCTGTGGGTACTTCTCAGGAAATACTAATCCCAGATAAGAAAATACACCCAACGAATCATATTGTAAGAAGCTTCTGCTCAATGCCTGGCCCACTGATAGGCATAAAAGATGAACTTCTCTTGATGATAAAGACCATCATTTCTTTTTTTAATTTTTTTATTGTTCAAGTACATTTGTCTCCATTTTCCTGCCACCACTTTCCCCTGCCCCAACCACCCCCACCTCCCACCCTCAATCCTTCCCCACTGAAGACAATCATTTCAAAAAAAGGCAGTTATCAGCTTTGAGACCTGGAGACCGAATTATTTTGTTAACATAATTATAAAAGAAACTATATAGAGAGAAATGTTCAAATTGAACAACAATTTTGTTTTATCAATGGTGATAAGAGAATCGATACGCTTCCCTCCTAGAGAATTCTTTTTGTAGTTCCAGGAGGAATCTAGCACTAATATTATTTTTTTCCATCCAATCCTAATTTTTATCATGAAGAAGATGATGACATTTATGGATCCTAAAAATCCTAAAATCTTCAAGTTTAGGGAATTTAAGTTTGTAACCACTTGATCTCCCACTGATACAGGTGTTGCTTCTACATGGTGTCCATCTGTTTGAATACTTTCAATAATGGAAAGCTTGTAACCTCTTAAATTTATTTCTATGTCTAAATCCCTCTTGTACCTGAAACTCTTGCAATTATATGGGTGTCTATCATATCATCTTCAATTTTCTCCAGAGTAACCCTTCCCAATTTATCCAACCAGTAATTGTGTCGCATGATTTTAAAGCCAGTCCTTGTAGTCACCAGCCTTTGGACTGTCTTGTGGTTTTTCACTTTCCTTCCAGAGCAGTGATATCAAGAATACATGGAAAGAACCAAAACCAGTGTCTGGCACTTACTAGTGCTTTATAATCATTATTTGTATTTCACAACTTCACATTGGCCTAACTTTTTGGTAGCCATGTCAGTTACAAGGGTATCCCTGAAATAAGCACATAGGCCACTGAAATATCCAGTTCTTTTTCATAAGTGCTGCTGCCTGACAGGTTTTTTCTTTCCTCTAGTTAAGTAATTGGTGAAATTACTTGAATCAGCATCATTTCTTCATTTTTAAAAAAATTATCATTGTTTCCCTCAGACCAGCATATATTCAGGGGGGTGGGGGGAATTGTTTGAACTCTGGCCCTACCAGCGATTTTATGATTTTGGCAAAATCACTAGTCCTTTCTGAGTGTCTGTTTTCTCATCTGAAGAATAAGGTACAGATATTTACCGCAAAATAGAAAAGAAATATTAATGAGAAGACATATTTGAAACATCTGGCTATGTGTATAATACTCTGTAGTTCTCTTTTTCTTATTTCTTGCTCTTTCTAAGAAATGAGTTAGGACAACCCTCAATTTTTAATGCACAAAAGGGAGTAGAAATGCAGATGACACCTTGATTCTATCAGACGCCTGTCTCTTCTAGTCACTGTGGAGATGCAACAGACAAAGGCCTTGTCCTCAAGAGATTTACAATCAAGTTGGTCCTCCTGAAATTCCTTTAAATACAAATGAAGGAATAAATCCTCAATGAACATTGGAACTAGCTGAGTAAAGCTCTTAAAGCCAGGGGCCGCATGAGCAATCAACAGTGGCGTTTTTATTTGCTCAGGCAGCTGTAACAAAATTCCACAGACTGGGTGGCTTAAACAACAGAAATGTATTTTCTCATCATTCTAAAGAATAGAAATCCAAGATCAAGATGCTGGCAGGTTAGATTTTTCCTGAGGCCCCTCTCCGTGGCTTGCAGACGGCCACCTTTTTTCTGTGTTGTCACACGGCCTTTTCTCTGTGCAGGCCCTCCCTGGCACCTCTGCTTATACTCACATGGACATTATTCCTGTTGGATCAGGGCCCCACCTTTATCACCTCATTTAACTTTAATTAACTCTTAAAGGTAATTAATACAGTCACATTCTGAGGTACTGGGGATTAGGGGGGCACAACTCAGGCCACTGGTTTCATTTATTAAAATTACTTTGGAAAATGGTGATTTGGGTGTATTATCTGGATGACCTAATAACAACAAAGTCTGATCTTGATCATTTTTATGTTCATAGCTACTTCCTTGGGCACCAAAAGTGTATATGAAATGTGTGTGAAGACATGAGAAAAATGAGTGAATGAATTGACCAATAAATTAGTAGTTACCATGGTGTAACCCATGAGTCTCCCCTTTGATTGGAAATCTCACGCATTGTGGAGGGGTTCAAAACCAATTTCTAAAATCCAAAGACATATAAACTTTATACAAATCGACCTCCAGAAAAGCAGAATTTATCTGATCTTAGATAAGCAAGCAAACACCCAAAGGTGGTGTACCAAAGTGTGCAACACACAAGATTAGTTCCTAGATAGGCTCTACAGAAAAAAGTTTGATAAACCTGGGAAAATATGTACAATACCAACCTTCTAGAAGTTCACAAGGCACCTTAACAAATAAACAGTGCTAAGAAGCAATTATTTACTTCAGTAAAGAAATCTGCTTTACTTGGTTTGGCCTGGCATTTTCCAAATGTCTTTGGGCTATAACAGACCTTTGTTCTCCCCTAAAGGGGAAAACGTGCTTTAGACAAGTTTTGGAAAAAACCCTGGCTTAAAAAACTGCTATTCAAAGATGTGAACTAGAGAGACTGTGAAACTCCTAATGTGATTCTCTTTCCTCAACCAATGATATCTGGAGGAAAACGTCTTAAATCTCTATTTGTAAGATATGTATCAGATGCCCTTTCAGAGGGTACTAGTCAGAAATGATGACTTAAACTCCTTTAAGGTAAGTGTTTTAGCTATCTGCTCCACTGATACTATCAAATCATCATTTCTCAAAATAACTCTAAAATTGGATACCACTGTTAACTGTTAATAGCTGAGATTATGACTTCAGAGTAGAAAATCATCAGAATGGAGTCAAGTTCATACTCCACTATTTGAAAGTGGTAGTTGGCTTAATCCTATCTACCCCCAAATTCATGTGCACTCAGAACCTCAGAATGTGACCTTATTTAGAAATGGGCCTTTACAGATGAAATTAGTTAAAATGAGGTTATATCGTAAGAGGAAAGAATACACAGACATGTGAGGGGAAATGCCATTTGAAGATACAGACAGACACAGAGAAGGCTATGTGAAAGCAGAGGTAGACAAGGAGCTATGCTGCCCTGAACCAAGAAACCCCAGAAGCCACCAGAAGCTGGAAGAAGGAAGGAAGGATTCTCATCTAGAGACTTCAGCAGAAGCGTGGCCCTGCTAACACCTGGACTTTGGATTTCTAGCTTCCACATTCTGAGAAAATTATTCCTGCTGTTTTGAGTAGTTGGTGCAGTTCGTGGCACTTTGTTATAGCAGCCCTGGGAAACAAATACAATAGTTCTGTGAGTATGGGTAGATTAGTAAACCTCACTGAGCCTTATTTTGTTCATCTATAAATGAAAATAACAATATCCACCTTCCAGGGTTTTGGTAAGGATAAAAGTTTGTGAATGTGTGCAGCACCTGGTTTGTGCCAAGTGCTGAGAATATGGAAGAGAACAATGCACTTGGAGTAATGGTCCTAGAGGGAATTGGCAAGCTATGGACTGTGAGCCAAATGCAGCCAAAAGCCTGTGTTTGTAAATAAAGTTTTATTGAAACAGAGCCACACCCATTGATTTATTATCTATAGCAGCTTTCATGTTACAATCAGAGAGTATATACAATAGAGACCATATATCCTACAAAGTCAAAAATATTTACTCTCTGCCATTTTACAGGAAAAAATTTGTTGACCTCTGCTCTAGATGCTTACAATGCAGCTGGAGGAGAAAGACATAAAGGAATGAACATAAGAACAGTTGGATCATGATAATTGCTCTGGAAAGTAACCTGCCAAATATAATAGAAAGTAAACTGTGGGAAGATAGGTAGTCATGGGAGTCTAAGGAAGGG